ATATATGGTTAAAAATTGTGAATCCCATAAAATATGTAATTAAAATTAATTATTGACTTTAATTTTAATTAAAAATTTTAATTTTAATTTCTACCAAGAACTAAAAATCTAATGTTTAACTAAGCGAAATTGGGCCAACTTTCATCTGTTATACAATTTTGCTAGGGAGGATTGCGCCATTAGTCCTTAATTTATTGCTTTAGTAGTAACTAGTAAGTCAGTTTTCAATTGTGTGAAGTCTGCAGATTGATCTCTAAATAATGTTGTCAGAATAGGATTGGATGGGCCAATTCAATATAAAAAAAAATTAAAGAATCGAAACTCATCTAGTTTTGGGTAAAAAGTTGGGAAAAAGAAACTTTTTAATCCAAATAAAGAGCCAATTAGTTCGCACCTTGAAATAATTTTCTACAATTTGTTTGACCCTTGATTCTGTCTTTTTCGATAATATGTCCTTGCTGACATTTGAAACATCATGTCTAACATTTTGTTCTAATTGCACAAATAGCCTCATGACGGAAATTATTCAAATATTTGTGTGATCCTCACACATACAATTTTATGATCTCATTCTTCCACTCATTTTTAACTACGCATTTTTCAATAAAATAATATTTTTCATCACATCAATAACTTGTCCTTCTTTTTCAACCACATACCCGCATCACATCAACAGTAAAAATGCACTATTTTTCACCAAATGAGGGTTTGAACTCTTTTTTTACATACTCATTTTTAATCATACATTTACATAGTAAAATATTTTGCGTGTAAACTCAATATTTTTTCTACTTTTTAACCACACATTTTTAAAAAAATCACTATTTAAAACTCCATTTTACCTAAATATGATTGTCAAACAGGGGCTAAGTTTTGCTTCTTTTACATGGACATCTAGAAATTTGAAGTGAAAATGAGTAATGTAATGTTTTATAGAAACTTTGAATATTTTTTGTCGTTAGGATTAGTTGAGCAATTGTAATAACAAGATAGAAACTAGTTTGCTAATTTTAAATACTTGAACCAAATTGTTAATGAGATAATAAGTTGGGG